CAGATGCATTTGAGATATCAAAAAAGTACTCCAGAGTGTTGTTCAGCATGGGGGTGAGTAGAAAATGAAGGCTAATCATGTTTTGGTTGTACTATTCCTTTAATACGTTTATTAATATAAAAGTTAGATAATAGTAATATTTTGTTAAAAAACAACAACAATGTGTTAGGTCTTGGTTCAATAGGCTAATTAATTTCAAAATGTTTTAATAAACATTTAACCAGTCCGGCCCTTGGCTAACTTTGACATCCCTGCTCTGGTCCCCTGACAGAGGAACCAGCAGGTAACTGAGGGGCTCAGTTAATTTGGACTATACCACATCAGTGCTATGGGGGGAAATTAGTTTTTCTTCATTTGGTTCAGTCAGGTTTGTGTATGTTTTCCCCCATGTGTTTCTTTTTTGAACTGATCAGCCACTATTTAAGTTTCTCTTTGTTTCGATAAGGCAGGTAAGTTTTTTTTGAGTTAGTTCTGTTACCGGTTATTTTGAGTAGTTTTTGGTTCTTTGGCTTCATTTTTGGATCCATTTTGTACTTTTTTTCTTTTTTGGGTTCAATAAAAGAACTCTGTTTTTTGAAAATACACCTGTGCCTGACTCCTCGTTCCATCGCAGTAAAACAGGTGTTTTGGTTGACAGTTTTTGTCCATTAACCACAGGAGGCTGAGTGGCATCAGTGGGCAGAGAGCTACAGCGATGAGGAGAGCAGCGACTCAGAGGATTTCATGTGTGGAATCCAGGTAAACAAAATGTTTCTGTGAAAATAAAATAAAGACAAACACTCAAGAATATTTAGCAACTTGCAGATTGTGTCAGTTTAAAAAACATCTGGAAAAAGAAGCAGAAGCAATCATTCATTGCTCTTTTCCATTTTATTGGACAACTTTAAGGTCTTAAAATAAACAAAAACCCCAACTTTTAAGAATATGTGTTAGCTGTTAGAAAGTCACTGCAACGAAAAACTTCATCTAATCACTGTCCAAAAGTTTCAAAAAATATATATAAATTGGTTTTTATTACTTCGCTCAAATGACAAATTATGCTCACAATTAGGTTTAAATCAGGGATGATCTCTGGAAGTATTTTCTATCAAAATGTATTAAGACATAATCACAGCTGTGCTGGAGTTAATTAGAGTCAATCAGGCCAGAAATCTGGGATGAGTGATGGACTCAGACTTAAACTTTGAAAAACACATCAAAGCGATCACTAAATCAGCCTACTATCACCTGAAGAACATCTCAAGG